AATATAAACACTTTCAAATAGTAATAAAGAGGTGGAAAAAAAAAGATATTTTGAGCACAAAGAATGTCAAACTTTTTAATTTGATTGATGATGAAAATTTATAATGATGACTCTTGAATGATTTGTGTTATTTGATAAAGTTAAAAATTTGATTATTGATAGGAGTAGTTATCGTATAACAAAAATTATTTTTCTCATAGAAGCCGAATAGATTTATGACGTGAATAATAACTAACTTATTTCAGTACTTAATAATTTGTGCCAAATACTTTATGCTTGCTCTATAAGATACCGAGTCATAGTCTGACATGTCCCTTTTTATGATACTTAAGTAACTTATTTTGAAATGTCCGATACTTCCTCAAATACTGTATTATAGGTGAGATATATTTGTATCTTTAATAATTAACGACTTATATTAGGTACTTAATATTTACTTATAAAATTCTCGGTTATTTTCAACTACCATTATAAATTAAAATTTTCGAACGTGGCAAATTAATTATAAAATATGCAACTTTTTATCATTACAAAATTTCGTTTTAAATTATTATTTTTTTATCATTGAAATTTGCTAACATGGTTGTAGTTCATGTTGCATGTGGGTATGAACCCTAGTAAGAATGGGTACATGATCATGATTTATGGCAAGAATTGATCTTGCATGTGAATCTATCGGATTGTAAGCCTTTTTTTTTTTCACATGAAACAATATAAGTCACTCCAAAATGGACCTAAAATTAATTATTAAATAAAGGTAAAAAGTACATCTGCATATTTCTTATATATATACACTTATATATAAGTGGGGTATAGTTTTTATATCGATCATATCATATTATATATATTATCTAGTTGTGGGTGTATATATATATGCGTCGTTATTACAAAAAATAACTAGTAATGTGCAAGAGTCAAATGGAGATCAGTACGACTCATATGGGGAAACACAGAGGAAAGAACGCAGCGTGTCGCCATGCATGGTCGTGGGCTCCTCCATGAACATTCCTTCTCTTCTTCAACTTCATATATATCTATATATATATATATATAGAGAGAGAGAGAGGCATATATATAACATATACACAGAGAAATACACCTTCCAAACAACATCTGACATCTCTGAATCAAGACATTATAAACCGACAACGTATCATTTAATTCATATTTGATTAAATTTTATTTTTTTTGGGAAACTCAAACATATATATATATATATATGTATATAAAATATAAAAATAAATTAAAAATTAAATCATTATGGGAATAGCAAAGGAATTTTGAGAAAATATACACTTAATAATTTATATATATATATATCCACGAGCATGTAGACAATAGCATTGGGATAAAAGATAAAAGAATGGTGAATCATTGTACATGTATGTTAGGTTTTGTGTCATTCAAATATATTTTTCTTTTTCTCATCACCATGCAAGTTGTCTTCTTCATCTTCCACATCATTCTCTAGGGTTTCTAGCAAAACTCCATCTCCAAGAAGCCAGAAAATCATTCAAGTTAAGTGTATGTATACCCCTTGGAGTTACATGAAGAATATATAGCTCGATCGAGGGTCAGAAATGGTGGCTCCTTTGGGGAACAAATCATGTTGCTCTTGTCAATCATTTTAATATTTTCTCTCTCTTTTTTAGGATCCCAAGGAGTAATTAATTATGTGCAGTTGTTTTACATAAGTGTATTTATACATAGGTGTGTGTTTATATATGTATAAGGATTAATTAGAATCCTAAGTTGTTGAACGTAGGCAAATGGCTAATAATTGTATTCTTTTGGGTCCATTATGATTTTACCATATATATGTACATATGTAGATTATATGTACATATATATATGTATGTATATACTGTTTTAATTAAATTTAGACAAGACTATGTAAATGGGACAACTATATGTGTATTGGATAACCTATTAAGATAAGTAGACAAGTAACTATAAAGTCTATTGTAAATGTGCTTTTGATTCCTAAATCAATAAAAATAAAAATAAAAACAATAACAATATATAGTATAGTAGTAAATATAAAGATTTAGTAATTTATTTGTTATGTACTCTTTTACATATTATATACAGAGGTTTTATGTGTATAATTCTACTGGTATTTGTTATTGAATATGTCTATATTGGCTTTGAGTAATAGACGTAATGATCATCTATATTAATTGCGAATAATTGGTTGGCTTTAGCATTCTTCAATAAAGAAATGATTACGAAAGAATAATGATAGTATTGTTAGTAGAAAATGATTACGGGAGAAGAGCGACTCTTTTTCATAGTATGAGTTTTCGCTTTAAAAATTATTACTAAAATATTAGATATATGTGTCCGCTGAGTCGAAATGTCATATGTGATCTCCATCTGGTAACTTTTTATGTAAGTTTCAAAATAAAGATTTACTTATTGCCCCATTTATTTTATATTTTAAAATTTTTTGCCAAAGGTTATTAGTTAACTACTTTAGACCATAACATCCTTATGTGACTTTTACATAAATGTTTCTTTCATTATCGATTCATATTTCATTCTTTAAATAAGAAAAATTACATATGAAATTTAACTTGAAAAGTTAATATTACTGGGTCATATACATGTACTAGTATATCACGGTTGCCTTATTAATTATGTAGCATGTCGGATTCTCCTCAGGGGGCAAAGACACCTTTTTATGCGGTCTTTTGCTAGAAGTTCTTATTTCTCCATCATCATGCAAAACCCTTACCTCCTTGATAGTTATATATTTCTACCTTTTAACGATAGAGACCATAGTTAGATCTTATCCAATGGACAATCAAAGTTGGGTCTTACCCGTATTGAAAAAAAGACTATAATTATTATCTCATTATCAATTTAGAGATTCACATCTATCATATAGATAATCTAATACATCCAACAACTAAAAACACACATGGTGTGACATGTAATGAATGTGCAGTACATACTTTAGCAAGTGGTAATGAGACATTTGGTAAGTAAATCTGTCAGATATCTCTTGACAGTAACATATTATAAAGTTTGACATTAAAACTCACATACACATTTAAACTTGTTTACTAATTAAGTCATTATTCATTACACTATATGTTACGAATCAAACTATATGAAAGTAGTCCAAAGTAAAGGTTAAACAAAATTGTAATTTTTTTGTTATTTATTTATGAAAATAGTCCAAAATAAATGTCTCACAGAATAAATTTGAGAATGACTATTTATTTATCTTTATATGCCTAAGACACATAAGACTAAATCTAATATCAATTATACCTAGTCACACATGTCATCTTCGAATTATTCTTGCAATCATCAAAACTTATAATAATTTATATGCACACATACGCTAAAACCATATAGATAACAAAATATATTTGTTAATTCTTAGATGTCACAATTATTCGAATGTCGAATAAGATAATCTTTTTCCTACTAACCTACACCCTTATAAATATGCGACTCAATTATATGTACATATATATATACACAAACACTCCCACATTCCACATTCACACAAACAGAAATGGGTGCTAGTTAAAATTTTAGAAATTGAAATATATGAACTATTTTTGACTATTTATTTATATGATAATGATATATTTAACAATTCAAAAAATTCTTCGTTGTCTTCCCTTTTAATCTTTTAGAAAATTATTTAATTAATTCATAAGTAAAGTCCAGATCTGTTAGTGGTAGTCGCACGTAGCAAAAATAAGTTATATAATAATTTAACAAAAATAAAATACTTTACTTTTTTCATAATTATAATTAAATAAAACCCATGAATGGACTTACCATCTTGTGCCTAACTTTGTTTTTGTTTCGGACAAGATCTTGTTTTTAACTATTTAGTTTTTCTTAGTTTGTTTGCCAATTGAATTGTGCGGCTTGGTGGGAGAGTGAAATCTTTGAGAGAAGAGAAAAAGAAAAAAGTGGTCAATAATTTATTTTAACAAAGTGCCATCCACTTATATACATGGATATATGTATATGCATATGTATATGTATATGTATATGTCTATATATATAGAGAGAGAGAGAGTGTGTGTGTGTGTTAAATCATATGAGAGAAAAAAAGAAAAGAGAATATTAATAATAATAAACATCAATTTGACACATCTCTCTTTTTAGTTCATTAGTTTTGGAGGCCTCTAATTGTCTTGGTCTAATTTAGTTTTTGGAATTTTCTCAAGGGAAGGGAACATCCAGAGATTTGCCCAAGATATTCATGGCCTACATAATGAACTATAAATCACTTGCTACATTATATTCTAGTGGAAGCTCTAATTTCTCTCTCTCTCTCTCTCTCTCTCTATATATATATATATATATATGCACACACATACACATTTAATTAAATACATTTTTATTATATATAATTAGTGTCATAAGAAATAATTTTGTATAAATAGTTCACCATTTTATAATTTTTTTTTATATAAAATCTTAAATCAAGTGATAACATTTCTAGAATAAAACTTCAATAAAAAATTATTGCCATTATTTTGTGAGTTGGGGTAAATAAGATACTCATAATTATGAGATAAAAAAGAGTATATTACCTTTTATTCTCTCATATATGTGTATATACATACATACCCATAAGATTATTAGGTGAGAAGTAGTAACTAAACATTGATGTGGAAAAGTGTAGTTTTTGTCAATGGAAAAATCAAATTAATCAAACCCAATTTCATTAAAAAGCCAAATGAAAAATAATTAAAGAAGCCCACTTCATGCCTAAATGTACTTATTATATGTTATGGTAAATTACACAAGACTTGTTAAATTTAGGTATAACTATAATTAGGTTTTTTTAAAAAAAATATAATTAATTGAACAAAAAAAAAAAATATATATATATATATATATATATTACATTGTATTAAAAAAAAAAATTATATGACTATAAAAATAGGTGGGTTTTCTTTGGATAAGAAAATAGAAGAAATTGGAGAGCCCTCCATCTCATAATTCGTAGATATATTTTTTTCTTCAATAATTTCATGCCAGCCCCATACAATAATTTTCAATAATACAAAGTAACAAAAGCATGCTAACCCGTATGCAACAAGTTACAAGTCTAACAAAATATCTATTGCATCTTCTAAATGCTCGACGCGAACAAGAAAAATAGTCCTTAAACCAATGCACACAAGCATTTTAAATCGAAATTTAGAAATAACGAAAAAAAAAAACATTGATCGTAGCCCATATAGTAGGAGATAAGAGAAATTCAGAGCAGTAAACAAGATTCTGTCTTTCGATCTGACCTGTAACTTATTTGAGAGCAGCTTTCAAGCCACCTTGCCAATAAAATTGAAGGAAAGATTCACCAACTGGTAAGAACATAGTCAGATGATCGTGTAACCATGTAAGAGAAAATAAGACACGGAAGAGGAACCTGCAGAAAGATTATCCACAGCAAATATACAATTTACGAAATAGATTAACTATTTTCTTCTCTAAATTTAAACAGACTAAGAATTGTCAATGCCTACAGTAAAGTTTGCGTGATGCCAAAATTAAAGCCAACAGTTCTTTTTTTTTTTTTCCGGCTTAGGAGATTAGCTTGTTTGTTACAGAGGGGAATGGAAACCCAAACCACGACCTTACTCACAATTTTTAGGCAGGAAATTACCACAAGAGCCAATGGCTCTTGGTAAAGCTAACAGGTAGAACGAGTGCTGGCCGATGCTGTCTGCTTGAGCACTAAATCTCACCAGTCCCCAGAGGCTGCCTTGAAGTATTGCCAGAAGCCCATGCTTGATAGTCTTTCACAAGCTGCAAGACAGATAATCAAACAATGAGAAAATGAGGACTGGAATTTGCACCCAGACATCAGAATTACCTTGGAAAAACTGATGTATATATTTGTGTACAGATGACTTCAAAAGCACTTGGCTAATACCTTTGTTAATGAGTTAATGGAGTGTTATCAATGAATTTCCCGCCAAGCCAAACACAAATATCCAATAATTTTTCCATTGTCCAGAGTTCAGGTCTAACAATAATGTTGTCCATGGATGATTCAATAATATTAACCTTATCACTAACCTTATCAGGGATTCCTAATAAAAGAATTTCTATTGAGTCTGCAGTTTTGTACTTGGACTGGAAGCAAAATAATAAGACGAGAACCTTTATCCAAATCCGATGTGATATCTTAACTATAATCTTTGGACCAAGCACATCTGGGTATGCTGTCTGGTTATTAGAGATGAGGAACTAGAAAACTCAGCAGAACTGAGAATATTCATCAATTTGATAGGGAGTTACTTGGTTCTGCATCGAAGTGTTAAGTGCTGTCCGACCACCCTATAGTATCCTAGAATGTCGAAATTAGATTAAAGAAGTCTCTGTTTCAAGTCAGGTTCTAAGGCATGATCCAATAACTCGAAGGACGTTATCCAAATTTTTTTTACACATATAGAGCATTTTCAACAACTTATATCTTCAAATAGAATCTGGAAACAGAGAACACAATGCAGTCGACTATTATACACACAGTAACCTGTAAGATGCTCATTCAATTCTGCACCAGCCACCCAGAAACCACAACAGTGATCCCACTTCATAGCATTTAAGGAAGTGTCTCAGCCACCCATGGTACAGAATCCAGATTCTTAACACACGTAAAAGTTTTTGGAAACCATGTTCCAAATAAAAATTGGTACTTTATTTAGTTTCAATAAATTTTACCAAGTCAAGAATCCATTAGCAATGTCCTCTATTTGAACCTAATAACTATGTTCAAAACAAAAATTGGTACTTTATTTAATCTAGTTTCATTAATTTTACCAAACCAAGAATCCATTAGCAGTGTCCTTTATTTAAACCTAACTCAAGCTCGAGCTTGATTAACTTGTCTAAACAAAAAAAAAAATTGAAGTAAGCAACTCGTAAATGACTTAAGTTCACGGCGATTCTACGAATCATCAACTTCTCATAAACTGAACAGAAACAAACAACCTACTTGGGACATAAATAAATGACTAAATACAGCTTAAAAAAAATTCAATAAATGATTTCCAGACCTCTGCCATAAAGCGAGGTAGCATGAGTCCAAGTATTTGTTCAAGGACTTGTCTCCCAGTTGCTTCTATTGCTGCCGTGGGAAGTGCCCTAAATGCAAAAGGGATCTCAATGTTGACCTGATAACACCAAAAGAACATTCAAGAATTTCATCCACGAACTAGTTTTCAAACAGAAGAGAATATTAAGAAAGACAACCTCAATAACTGCATCTGAAGTTAGTTGTTGCATTGATGAGTTGCTTAGATTGCTACCACATGATATTTGATTCACCATAGAAGCTGCATTCCCATATCAAATCAGTGTCAAAGCAATCCTGAAAGAAGAATAATATTATGACTTCAGAATTGAAATATCTTGTATTTAGTTGCTCCAGGAAAAACATTCAAAGGGGAAAAGGGAAGAAAAGCTCTTGTGTCTCCCATCATCAAACTAAACCAGCACAGGGTACACATATATATACACATTACTAATGACAACATTTCTTTTGCACAATAATTATGTAATGTTCCAATCCCAAAGCAAAACAAATGTAACTGTTAAGCTCAATATAAAGACTCAAGTCACAACTATAAATAAGTTAAGCTTAAACTTATAAGGGCTAGTCATTTTGAGTCCAAACATTGTAGGGCCAGAGGTGCTTAGATATGAGACATTAGAAACAGTATCAAAGCACATGTTAGCTCAATAACTCCAAGTTAGTGCGAACTTGGACTGTATGGACCTTTAAATTGTGATTTGTGATTCTAATGTACGAATAGGCATCAAGGCTTTTAACAGTAGATATTATGATTCATGAACTTCATATAAGGGCTCAAGTCACATACTATAGTATTTTTTTTTTTTGAAATACACATACTACATTATTTAAGCATGAACTTTTGAAAGCTACTAGTTTGGATCCAAAAGTTGTGGGGATAGTGACGCTTTTGGCCAGGGCGTTACAAAAAGTCCTACTTGAACTTTTCCACAAAAAGTCCTACTTGAAATTTTCCACAAAAAAGTCCTACTTGAAAATTTCCAAAAGTTAAATAAAATGGTCACAATGTGTGCATGTATCCTATATTACCAAAAAGATTTTGCTAGCTGCAGTACAATGTGTCAACATTTCCCTTGCACATGAGCAGCACCTATGGTGCTATGCATGTTACTATTTTTTTCGCTTCTTTACCAAGATCAGAAATGGGAAGAGGGTGCCAGCAGACAGCAATTCCCCTGTGACAAACAATGTGAACAATGATTGAGGGGAAAACCATCCTCAATTAGTTGATAAGATAATATTTGATTGTAAGAGAGTTAAATTGTCAAAGGAACTAAACAATAAGAATGATCAGATTTCTATGATGCAAGGATAATTAGTTTAAAACTAATTTCTATCAATTGAAACTATTGCAAAAGAAAAATGGTTTATATAAAAAAATTTCATAAAGTCATTTCGTCTGTGTGTAAACTAAAATTAGTTTCCAATACTTTCCAGCTTTCAGCAAATAATGCTTATTCTATAGAACTCTAAATTAACAATAGCCTAGAAAATTGGATTCAAATGAAAGCACTGGAACCAAATAACGAGAACATTATCACCCAAGGATTTAGTTTTGTTTTGAATAAAATTTCAAATAAATCATGTAAAAATCATCTTCGTATGTATGAACGCTGTGCAACATTGCCAGTATAAAGATTCGATGACAGCCTAATAGAAAAGCTTACCATCAAACTTGTCGTTCTGGGCCACAACAATAGGTGATCCCTCAAGCTGCCAAAGTACACAAACCAGCGAACAAACATCAGCGCATTACGGCAGAATTAAGAACCTAAACAGAACAAGAGGATCCTAAATTGGGATAGTTTCAGTATCAAGAAAGATCTATATAATCATTACTATCACTATTTAGTCTCTTTAATTTAATCACCTTATATAGGTAGGTTTCAAGATATTAGATATTAAGGCTAACTAGTTCAATTTTAAATAATAAAAAAGATTTCATCTTTTATTACTTCAAGATTTATTTTATTAGTTGTAACTAATAAGTATAGCAACTATCAAGAAGGAAATAGATGATAGTGAATTAAGAATTTCCTTTGCTAGAGTTCTATTGCCCGTTCTCTCTCTAAGTTTTTTCTTCTTACTATTATTTTGTTAACCTATTTTATTCAGTATACTTCTTCCTGTATTGCTTCACCTTGATCCTTGTCTATCTCCACTGTTTTATTTGTCACGTAAACCTCTTCTATTTCTAAATTATCCACTGACAAGTTAGTTTTATGGCTACTTATCCAGTATCAAGTAACTTCAACCAATTTTAAGCTTCAGTTGGTAATCATTTTAATTCTGGAAAATATCCAAAGGGTACTATAATACAAAGCTCTCCTTTCCCAATCAACATGTTCAAATAAGAATTCCATAACGCAAAGCCCATCATACCATGCCAACAACAATGGAAAAAACTTTCTTAGCAACCGAAGTCCCAATAACTGAAAGTGAATTAGATTACCACAATTTAAACTTATAGTTTCACCGAAGCATGTTCAAACAATTTCCCATAATACTAAAGGTCTCAAGGTATTGTTCCAACATTAACTAAGAATGCTACCAGATCAATTAAGAATACCTTGCAGGACAAGAGCTTAATACAACAACCATCAGGCTGCTCTTCAACTCTAACAAGCAAAACCGGGCAAACCTCGAAATTGAAGAACTTAAACCTATAGACATAGCACCTGAATGTGTTATCATCAACCCTCTCAATCCTCTCCGCATCCAACACCGAGTACTGACTCGCCGGCAAGCTCATGTACTCAGCTGCACTCATTAAACCGACCGCAACAAAATCAGCTCGAAAGCATTTTCTAAAAATCCGCACGTACATATTGAAAGTTTTCGAAGAGAACACGTATAAATTTTACTTCAAAAAGAGATTAAAAGAAGAAGAAGAAGATATTGAACTGCTAAAATTACTTAGAGGGCGCTGGAGTTGACGGACCGAAACGGACTCTCTGCGGCGAGCAATAAAACGAGCTTTCGGGGCTGAATCTGCTGCAGAAACCCGAAGAAACGACCGTGAGAGTACATTGGCTGATGATGATGATGAGGAAACGACGTTGAGAAGAAGAGATTGCTTCGGATTCCTAGTCGGAAATGAAATCGAACCCGCCGGTTTCACCACAGAAATTGAGGTAGAAGCAGAGCTAAGTGCCATCTACAGTAGGTCCTTTGCTCTGCTCTTTTGCTTATAATGGAAATAGCAGAAGAAGAGAATGACTGCGTTCCAATGGATTGATGCTCCGAGACGGACTGAGAAAAACAGTGGCGTCGAATAGGAGAGATGGGATGGGCTTCATCGTATCCGGCACTACCGGCTCACGGAAGTCCACGTAGGCGGTATCTGCTAACTTAAGCCGATATCTCCTGCCTCTAGAGCCCATCTGGCTCGACTTCTACTAATTTATCATCGCAACTTTTCAACGGCTCTAATAAAAAATTATATATATATATTTTGAATAATTTAAAATAATATAAATATTTATTTATCTAAATATTAAATAACAAAGTCTAGTCATAATTGAATTTGTGACTTTAAAATGTACTACTAAGATTTATTCAAATTACTTATGTTTCTAATATTATGATTTGTTAGCAATCAGCTCAGAGATTTACCTACAATTTTTTGAGCTCAGAGATTTACCTACAATTTTTTGAGATATTATATAAATTACCCTCTCTGGTTTTTTCCAGCTCTCTCTCTTCCCTACTTTGACTCCCAGCCTTCACTCTCTCCTCTCACCGTTTTCTCTTATCATTTTCTCGGAGTTCGTCTTTCTCAGGCGAAGGCAAATTGTCATCTGCACGACATATCCCGGCTGTCTCTCTCTTGAAGACTTATATTCTCCGTCGAAGTTCTCTCACGCGCGAAGTTCTATCTCCGGGGTCTCCCCCTGCGCGACTGCAGCTTGTACAGGTTTGTTCTTGTTTTCGTCGTGTAAGCACTCTTTCTCTATTGTCACGATTTCTCTGGTAAGCACTTGTATATTTTTTGTTGTTTTTTTTTTTCAAGCTTTCTCTTCCTGCTCCTGCTTGGTTCCGAGAAAATCGGAGGGGAAGGGCAAAGGAAAGAGAAAAACAACTAAGACACTTATACTTTGATTTCGTTATTAGATTTATATATAACAACATATTCGATAAAATGCAGTCATCATGATGCTGCAATCTCAAGAATTTTCAAATCTGCAGAGAATGGATAATAATACGACCATTTTAATGCGGTCAATTTAGCCATATACATTTGAGGTCAGATAAGATTGTTGCTAAGAAATTAGTGTTTAAATAAAATTGCTAAATTATAATTGCTTGCAAAACCGGAGGATCTTCCGATAGATCTCTTATGAGTTTTGAAATGGAAGTAACTCGGTGATAGTTGAGTTTGATTTGCGTATCACGCCAAATGATAGCATTCAAAGATGCAAATAGTGATTTTGATGTTCCGCACTTGGGGAGAAATTAGTAGAAAAGCTTTATATGGGGCAACTATTTGCGGTTTTGTGAAGGTCTCTGCATGTGTTGCAAGAGTAAGCTTGTAGCTAAGAGAGAGATGATAGAGACATAGAGTCTGTTTGGAAGATCGATAGAGGGAATTAAGTAACGAGATGGAGCAAGGGAGTTAAATTATTTTAGGTTGGATTGGATAGAATATGAGGGAGTGAAGTCTGGGAATCAAAATTGGGTGCTGGTGAAAGAGCAAAATATGGACAACGGAGGGTAACTTTTTTCTCTCTCACGGTGATCTTAATGTGCCAAGCATGTGAGAAGATTTTCAGGAGAAAATGACAAGGTCCAGGAGGTATTAGGATATTGCATAACAAATTAATTTTCTCTATCTTCACCCTATATAATAGATTTTTTTTTTCTATAAAAAGGACGATTTTCAGGTGCGTCTTATCATAATTGGACGGTAACTTATTTTGAAGGAATCAAAAAGTTCAGGATCTATAAGCTCAAAGTACATAAATTTACACTTCTTAAATTTATTTTCCAAATTTCTTTTTGAGATTTGAATGTCTTAGTTAGGTGTCAATTCCTGCCTATCGAATTTGTATTCTTATCTTAATAATTAAAATTTCAAACTTGTTAATTAATTTCCTAACTGATATCTTTTAGAAAAAATGTCATGAAACTGGTGGGAGCTGTTACTAAAGGAAGATACTATAAGGCATTACTCCGTTCAATTGATTACATCATATAAAATAATAATATGTTTTAACTGTTTTTAGTTCACCAAGCAAGCTGTACGAGTCTGAGGAGCATTGAACATTACTACTTCCATTTCCTTGCTAATTTTTCTATCTTCAGTAATTTTCTGGTCAAATTCATGTGAGAGTTCGTTGTCTTCTAGAATTCTCATGTTCTAATGACTTTTTAGCTTTTGGCACCAGCAGGTATGCAAAGGGTTTTACACAAGTATTCATTTTTTTTTCTTGCAATTGCAACGAAAAGCTAAGAGAGAAAAATGGTATGGCACTTATTTACAATCACATTAATATGTCAATAAGAAAACCCAGGCAGCTTCGCTAATGCAGTTTGCAAAAATGAATTATTTGTTTTTCTTATTAAAGAAGAAAATGAAAACCCTTAGTGCATCAGTTAAAGTTACTTGAGGTCAGATTGAATTTTTCTTTTTCCTTTTTTCTTTTGTTGATAGGAACACATACAGTTAACCTAAAATAAAGGCATTTCTTTTTTTTTATTATTATTATTATAAAGGTTATTTGGCGAGTTAGCTTATTGTTACGTGCTGCTTGAACTTTGTAGTTTCTTCCTTTCTGTTCCATGTTCTCTGACCTTATATTTGTTCATACAGCTAAGTGTCCAGAGTGGCAATGACACTATTGGAAGCACACAATGGATTTTTGCTGAAATTCTTTAACTTCAGTGAAGAAAAACTTCATTTTCCGCTTGACTGAAGAGCGAAGGTGAAGTATTGTCTTTCCTTGTGCATAGGAAGATGGTAGTAGGAAGGCATCGAATCTTTAGATGGAATTATCTTTCACTTGTTCTAGTTACATTTGTTTTTACAATTGTATTACTTTGGACGTGGGAAAAGAATCCTTTTCGGACTACTCTGTTGTCAGTCAAGCATCAGTTTTTCATGCCTTTTTCAGGTTCGTTTTCCAGTCAATACTTGTAATATGTGTGTTATGTACACAGACAAGTAATTCACATTAAAGCCTCAAATCCTTCTTTTTTTTCTTCTCAATTCTTTTATTTTTGTTACTATCATAATGATTCAATCACCCTTATTCCTATTGAATGTTATTGTTGGAAAACACGTGAAGTGCACATGTATTATTAAGCATGAGATGGAATACATGGACTTGGATATATGCACTGATTACCATTATGCATGTCATGTTTAATTGGTCTGGTCTTCTCTAGCTAAAAAGAAGAATATTCTTACATCTAAATTTTAGAGATGAACAGATGCTCCATGATCAGGACTTCTCTTCAGTATCATTTTCTTTATGTTTAGTAAACTATGTAAGCATCTAATATTGTAGCAAGCAAAATGGTTCATTAAGTTCTGGGAAGGGGAACTGACAAATAGGTAAGACTCCGTTATCTTTAGATTTTGCCAGAAGATCATATGCGTACATGTGTCTGCTCATTCAGGATGTTCCTTGTCTTTGATTTCAGGAAAATTAAGAAAAGCAAAAGGATATTCTAATTCTAGATAAGTCAGCCGAAGATACCTGTGTGTGTGTGTGTATATATATTTTCCTTTTCTATGTCCTAGTTTATGTGTAACTGAATATTCTCCATGGACCTTTTGTAGTTGTACTCCTCGGATCCATATAATGTGGTCTGGCTATCATTTTATAATCTACAATGAAACCAAGTCTATTGTTCAGATTAAAAGAAAACGTCTCAGATTTTATGAGTATCATTGTCATTTCCATTTCAATACCTTCTTGGTTGTAAGCTAGATCTTTCAAGCTTTCTGATTCAGTGTTTTCAATTATGCTTCAGAATCTAGTCTTGGGGGCACAAATTATTCATCAGAGCCTTTGGGCCCAAAAGGTTATACTTTGGATCGTCCCAGTTCAATGGCAACAGACAAAATAAAAGAAAAGATATCCCCTTCCAAGCAAGAAGGTAGCATCATCTCCTCAAAGGCTTCTTGCGCTGCTGCTCTGTTGTAATTTCTCTTCTCTGAAACCAAAATTGTTTGTTTATCCTTAACATAGAGAGACATTAAAGGAGAGCTTGAACCTTAACCTAGGCAGAAATTGAAGAAGTCAATCTTATAAAATAACCATTATAGACATGAACAATAAATAGTATGCTAGACCCTTCATATAGGCACCAATCATATAACTAAATTAGGCGAATAAAGCAGCTAACAAAATATAAATTATTTGACATTTATATTTTTTTTGCTTCTCTACAGGCTTGGGCTAATATTTTCTTTTTTTTTCTGGTCTTCATGTGTGTGCGTTGGGTTTCAAGGGGGGGGGGGGGGGGAGGGTTGGGGGGGGTCTTGGGGAAAGGAGAGGAGAAGGGGAGTCTTTGTTCACTTTGCAAAAGTGCAAAGAATTTGAGTTGGGGGGAAGATTGGGGGGTTTCTTAACTTTGCAAAGGTGCAAAGAATTGGTTGCTCTCTTGTCCCGAAGAACCTTCCTTCTCTTCACTTTCCTGATTTTTCCAGAGCTTACCTAAGGCTTTCTCTTTGGCATTGTATTTTTTTCTCTTTCTATTAGTGCCCTTTTTATGAGGAAAAATAAATTATTAGTAAGTAAATATAGAAACTACTAACCATTTGTAGAAACTGAATAGATTTGCTCAATAATCGATAAACTCCTTGGTTATACATTTCTTTAACAAGCTTAATATTCTTAATAATTCCTCCTTGCAACCTTTGGCAAGGGGAGGGGGGGACATGATGCTTTCACAAACCAGAAGGTTTCTGGTCACCGTAAACAAATCCTTTGATGCCGGGTACCCTGGGAAGAGAGAAGAAGGTGTACAGGTGACCTGAAGATGGGAGAGGGTTCAGGTCGACCATCACCTTTTGAGGTGATAAATCGGATGGTTACTGGGAGCATTGCAGGAACTTTATTGGACAAAAGGAGGGAAGTTTTGCACTCCATTGGTGCTCGTGAATATGTTATTATATTGTTCTATTCAGGAAAAAAAAAAAAGTTGTGCTTTAGCGAAGTATTTAATCACACAATTCTTTTAGATCAGTCTTATTTTTCTTGGCGCTCGTTATGCTTGTATACTTTAAATTTCTAGGTTCTGTGAAATTCTCATTGATAAAGTTATAAGGGTTATGCATGGATATCATCCTATGATCATTCTTCCTTCTTCTTCGCTTCTATTTTTGTCTTCTTTTTGTTCTACTAAAAGCTTCCAGCAATGCCTAACATTTTCCTAAGAGTTTCTAGTTCTTCGCCTCCAGTCTGTAATTATGCAAAGGGTAAATGGGTAGCAGACAGCCGACGACCATTGTATCCTGGGTCTGGCTGTAAACAGTGGTTATCTGCAATGTGGGCGTGTAGATTGATGGAACGAACAGATTTCTCCTATGAAGGTTATCGTTGGCAGCCAAAAGATTGTAAAATGCCAGAGTTTGAGCGGTCTAGCTTCTTGAGAAGGTATGCTCCTGGGTTGTTTTGTACTTGTTCTTCCTATTAATATTTATCTGGTATTAAGTTTTATGTCAGTGAATGAGACAGGGAACACTATACTTCTTTTGCATACATTTCTTTCTGCAGTACCCCTCAATCAATTTTCTTCCACATTGCAACTGAAATTTGCAATACATGTTTTGCATACATTCCTTTCTGCAGTACCCCTCAATCAATTTTCTTCCACATTGCAACCGAAATTTGCTCAGTTTCATGTTGTATATTTTCAGAAGTAATGACTGTAAACTTTTTAATGCAACATTATGCATGAAATAGAAGGTTTCTAGTTTTGTTCTCTTACCCTATCTATATTGCAGAATGCAGGATAGGACAATTGCATTTATAGGAGATTCACTTGGGAGGCAACAGTTTCAATCATTAATGTGTATGACTACTGGTGGAGAAGAGAGCCCAGAAATCGAAAATGTTGGATGGAAATATGGTCTTGTGAAACCTCGAGGAGCCATTCGACCAGATGGATGGGCGTACAGATTCCCAAGTACCAATACCACCATCTTGTATTACTGGTCTGCCAGCCTCTCTGACTTAGTGCCTCTTAATGCTACAGACTCAACTTTTGATATTGCCATGCATTTGGACCGTCCTCCAGCTTTTCTGAGACAATACATCCATCAGTTTGATGTGTTAGTTCTTAATACAGGACATCATTGGAACAGAGGAAAGCTTGAGGCAAACCGATGGGTGATGCATGTGAACGGAAAACCAAATGAAGACCCTGAACTTGCTGATATTAGGAATGCTAAAAATTTCACTGTTTACAGTATTATCAGGTGGGTTGACTCGCAGCTTCCCTTGTATCCCCGACTTAAAGCTTTTTTCAGAACCATTTCACCACGACACTTCCGAAATGGGGACTGGAATACTGGAGGTAACTGTAATAATACCGTTCCATTGACTGGAGGGAATGAAGTCAACGAAGACGGATCAAGTGACAAAACTGTTGAAGGTGCTGTTAAGGGTACAAGGATAAAGATTTTGGATATAACCTCTCTATCGGAGCTGAGAGATGAGGGTCATATATCTGGTTACAAGCCTAGGCCGTCCAAGCCAGTAAAGGCTTATAAGGTACCTAACCCAACTGAGATTGTAAATGACTGTTTACATTGGTGCTTGCCCGGTATTCCAGATACATGGAATGAACTCCTTGTTGCCCAGGTATGAAGTTTTCCACCTTGACTATACTGAAACTGCATGAGTTTATGCCTGTTTTCCAGTAATCAATCTCTTGATGCATTTTTGCGACGCTAGTAATATTAACAACGCGGCAAAAAATTTACTGGGGTGTTAAGAGTTTAATTACTAGAGAGGAACGACATCTCGATATTCGGATTCCAAATCCGCAATTCTTTATGTGTCTAAAATGACCTTTCATTTTCCTCCCTCTTTTGATCTGAAGTTCTCTTTTACTCAAGACTTTTATATTTGATTTAGAGATAATAGGCAAAATATTTGATTAATGAAAATATCAGTCCTGAGTTGGGATATGATTTCAGAAGAGTCAGAACCAGGGAAAAAGATTAAAGCTCCTGGACCATACCTTAAATAGATACTTGGGGTGTGGTAATATACCATTGTTGTTGTTATTATTATTTTGATGAAATGTACCATTATTTTAAATATATAGAAGAAAACCATACTTATACATTTTGTGTTTGATATTTAGTTTATCTGTGTATCAAATGTCATGACTTTGAATATAGGTTTTGGTTGTGGAACTACATCCACTGACTGCCATTGGAGAAATTATTCCTTATAATGGGTATTTTTTTTTTATTATATTTCTTCTAATGGCTTAATAAAAATCTCAAATTATAAATTTATTTTGTCAATTCAGGTTTCTGGCAAACTATTAATAAAAATATGATCCTATTGCGATATATCTGTTATATACAATAATTTCTTGCTGTGAGATACAATAATATGTCTGTTTATTTACAGTATAAGTAGATGTACAACTTATTTCTTTCTTTTGAACTATGGGTTTCTTAGTGGTGTGATATATTTCTTTCTTGCTTTTAACTTTTTTGTTATTTATTTTTGATCTAATCACTAGACCATCCTTGATGTATTAGAATTGAATTGTATTTTTCATATTTGAATTAACTCCATTCTTATAGACTAGTTTTAGTGTACGAGTAAGGTTAACACAATTTAAAATGGATAAATCCAATTCCATACAATTACAAAAGTTAATATATATATATATATATGAGGTAAATTATCGAACTAATTGATGTACGATTATAATCACAACTGGATATACTGTTTTTAAAACTAACAATTTATTTGGATAAGCAATATATGATTTTACGTCTACCCAAAGTTTTCTGACGTATAAAATAATACAAAATAATAACACAAACAAGTAATTATGCATTTTTAAAAAGTAAAAATAAATTAAAAATTTTAATTTATATAATAAGGAAGAAGCGAAACTATAAGTGAGAAACGAAATGAAATTTTTTATTATTAAAAAAAATAAAGAATTCAAATTTTATTTTAATTCATAAAGTATTAAATAATCATATGTAGAAAGTAAAATTAATTATAAATATATAAAACTATTCAATTTGACATTTTATAGTGCCCTTAAAATTTAAACTGAAAAGTCAATCATAATAATTAAAATTATTATTTTTTTTTTAATATATAATTATATATTGTATTAAACAATCTTGATCAGAAATCTTATTAATAAAAATTATAGTAATATATAAATAATAGTATTTTATCAGAAACTATGTTGACGTTAGTTAGCTGATAACATATAATGTAATATATATATATATATATATAAAAGATAAATAAAAGAGAAGAGATTAAATTGTTATTTTCCAAAAAGACTATTTTGCCACGCTGACAGGGAACAAAATTAACTCGGCTTATCGAAGAGCTTTTCAGGTTCAGCTTCTCCTGCGACGCAACTAGGGTTTTCCAAGCACATCGCAGCAGAAGTTCTAACCTTCAACAATGGCAAACAGTACCTACACTCACTTTTTTTTCCTTCTATTTTTTCGTAGGATCTTTTTGAAGGGATTATTCTGATTTCGTATTTCGGTTTTCTTTGTGATTTCCTGCAGTGGCCAGGTCCTTCCTTCAGGTGGCAGCTACAGAGGAGGTCGCTCCTCCGCTCAGAGTTGTTCAGATCGAGGGACTGGTAATCTTTTTCCTTCTCTTGTCTTTCTCAGAATTTCTCTTTATTAGATTATGTTTCTTTCCTTTCGATTAACAAACCAATTTGTCACTAAACGGTAAATATAATTACTGGTACCAATATTTTTTCTGTGGAAGGGAGCGAGTTCGCAAGAAATTGTTGTTTTGTCCATTTACGTAATGTTATTTTAGCAGTTATACTGCAGTTTCCTTATTGTGTATGCATTTTCTGGTAAAACTGGTCAAATTCACACGAGACGAACGGTTTTAAAAAAATTTATCAAAAATAGGATAATATTTGCTGCGAGTTTGTTTAGATTTTCTGCTTGTTACATCTTTTGTTAAATAGGTTATATTGAAGATAATCAAACACTGCAAGGAGTTTGCTCCAGCACTAGTCACAGGACAGCTTCTTGGTCTAGATGTTGGTAGTGTTCTTGAAGTTACTAACTGTTTCCCTTTCCCGGTAAGAAAAGTTTATTTTTCGCTCTTGAGATGCTTAAGTAATTCATTAGTTTTTTTCTTAAATGATTACTTCAATGTTAATGTGAAAAATAAAACCAATTCAGATCAGAGATGAAGATGAGGAGATTGAAGCAGATGGGGCTAACTATCAACTTGAAATGATGAGATGCTTGAGGGAGGTTAATGTTGATAATAACACCGTTGGATGGTAAGTTTCATTTCTTAGTTTCTGATACTATTATTAAAGACGTAAAAGAAATCATGGGATTTGTGTGCTAGTTTTTTTCTTTACCATATCGTCTAGTGCAAAGAAATTAGTCCCATAAGATGTGGCTGGATGGCTTTTATAGCATTTCAATATGAGAGGGCATATGATTTTCTCTATCTTTAGTTTCTCCCAGGTCAGCTGCTATTTATATGAAGTAAATATATGTGGTTTGTGGGACTTCTTATCATAAACACTATCATAAATGAAATTATGGCAGTGAACCTATAATTTGATGAACTTGGCTGGAATCGGCTGTGAAATGGAGTATGCATGAAACATTCTTCTGTTTTCATAATTTTAGTGGATTGTGTATATATCCTTTTATATATTATTAAGCAATTTTGTCTCTCTGGTAATTTGTAGAAGACTGAATTCTTTCATAACAGTAAGATATTTAGTTAAATATTTTTTTATTTGTTCATATATGTCTTTAAGTGAGGCCTTTATTCTTTATTATATTGGCTGAAGCCTAGCCTAAGCTCTTTTAGGTTCTCTCCCTTCTGATGACATTATTGAGATGTTTTTCAGGTACCAGTCAACAATTTTGGGTTCTTATCAGACAGTTGAATTGATTGAGACCTTTATGAATTATCAGGTAGATTTTTTTTTCCCTTCATGATCAACATAACAGAATATGAGTCCTAAAATCATTGTTCCAGTATTAGTGCCTTTGCCTCCCACTTCCACTTTCGCTTTGTGGTGTACAATAGTTTAAATTTGTCCACAAAGCAGTAGGTTCACGGCCGTGCCAAAGGTCCTGCAGCAGGTGTCATCTTTCATTTGGCAAGCCAGATTAGTAGTTTTGTACCACCGGTTTTTGTGTCCGTGGTTGTCATGTTGGCTGGAAATTACACTTGGATCCTTGTTGTTAGTTGTCATGTACCATACCTCACGCATACGTATGGCAATTGCTCTCTGCTCATGCCTGATGTAAATGAAAGTGGAATATCTGGTATTATCAAACCTGGTTTCATATATGATATGAATAGGGTTTGCCAATGTTTACTTTTCTTATCGAAGCATACCTTGATTAGTAATGCCATGATTTTATTCTGTTGGGATAATAACCCTTTAGTTAGAGTGCATGTATGTACTTGGCAAATGAAAAAACTTGGATATCTATTATGCAGTTTTGTTTCTCCTATAAACTGCCCTTTATGTTTAAAATTGAGGATGTTCCATTGTTGTCTTTGGTGATCTGTAATTATGGATGATTACAGGAGAATATCAGAAGGTGTGTGTGTATCATTTATGATCCTTCAAGGTCTGGTCAAGGTGTTTTAGCTCTGAAGGCTTTGAAGCTCTCTGATTCTTTCATGGATCTTTACCGGAATAACAGTTTCACTGGGGAGAAGTATGATTACTTATTGACCACAATTTCTGTCATAAGAAGATATTTCATTCATCTTTTCCTAAATGTCTCTTTCTTGAACAGGTTGAGGGAGAAAAACTTGGCATGGGTAGATATTTTTGAGGAGATTCCTGTAAGCTTCTGGAACTTTTAATTATTATGGCCTATTAGCAATGTTATGATTATCATTTTGTCCTGTTTCCTATCATTATTCCTCTAAAAGAATCAATATTTTATTGAATTCATGGGCAAATTTGTATCTAGATTGGAGATTTGAGCTTTTTTCCAATAGCATCATAGAAGATTGTCTTTTTTAGGTTTTTTATGTAAGGATTTGACAAAGATAAGTTAAAGTGTCTTGCTAATCTCCTTTCGTATATATTGTACTTTGTACTTGACAGATCAAAGTCTCGAATTCTGCTCTGATCAGCGCTTTTATGACAGAACTGGAAGCCGATTCACCAGTCACACAGGTAGGGCATTCAGTTTTACGGTTAGATTTCACTTGGCGCTGGTGTATACCATTGATTTTTTTTTTTTTGAAGTGTATGCCATTGATTTAATTACGTTCTTTTTTGTGTAACTGTTTTAGTGTGATTATGATCGCCTGCAATTATCAGCCAACCCATTTATGGAGAGCAATATGGAATTTTTGATTGAATGTATGGATGATTTGTCTATGGAACAGCAGAAGGTTTGCTGCCGGCTCCCTTTGTTAATAGCATATAGTATACTTGGGCTTTTTTAAGACAAAAATAAAACAGAGCTGCTTTCATTTTTCAGTTTCAATTTTACTACCGGAACCTGTCACGTCAGCAAGCTCAACAGCAAGCATGGCTTCAGAAAAGAAGGTAGTTGGTGGGATTAATTTGTATCTTTTGGGGAATTTTTTGGATGTTTTGGAATGGAGAACTTTAATTTCAAATTGGAGATCATAGACTAAAGATTTCTACTTGCATGGACAACTTAGTGATAGAAATCCTTTCTACCCTGAGTTCAGGTTCAACACTTTTAAGTATTCATGGGAGCAAAAGAATGAAAGAAAAGGGGTTCAGGGATTTGAATAAACTACCTGTTCTGTAATGTGCTTGTTCAATTTTCCCTTCTGCTAGCTATCACTATCTTAGTCTTGGAAGCTACTAACAAACCATGTGGAACCCTAGCTTACTTTTTCAAGGAAGTACGAAGATCACAAGTAAAAGTTGTTCAACTGATGCGAAGGATTGACTAAGGGTGGAAAAGATTCAGAATTAATCTGGTTAATTGGGCTGCTGGAATCTCCATCATTAAGTCTCAAAACCAACTATCCTTTTTTGGTGGTTCCAACTTTGTTGATGTTTTATAAAAAAGAACTTACTGCTTTTTATAATCTTGAGTATCTCCAATTAACACCAACAACAATTTGTGCTGTTGGAGAATTATTAGCTTTTTGTTGAAAATTTTGGACTAGTAATTGCTTTTGATACTTCAGTGGGAAGCTTTTTCTGGATGCAAGTTTTGAAGCTTGTAAGAAGCTTATTGAATCAGTTTTTTTATATTTTCATAGGACAGAAAACATGGCACGTAAAGCGGCTGGAGAAGAACCTTTACCAGAGGAGGATCCTTCAAATCCTATATTTAAGCCAATTGCTGAGCCATCACGGCTAGAGAGCTTTCTTATAACAAATCAAATTTCAAACTTCTGCAACCAAATCAATGGGTATGTATCATCAGATCTATGTGACTGGCTGAGATTTTTTATTTTTTGATTTGTTGATTGAGCCTATTTCCCCTCTGCAAGAAAGGGCAACAAAAATCACAAGGAAATATGTGTTGCAATTTGAGAATTTCAATGTTTTTTTACTCCATGCAGATACTTGATGTGGATTATATTGTCTGCTTCTTGGGTCCTTTCATTTCTTTTTTGATTCTGTTCCCTTAGCAAAGAGTTATTGGTCACAATATCTTAGCTGTTCTTCGTCTAGTTTTCTTACACTGATATGAAGTTGTTATCTAAGTGGTCTTTGTCTTTTCTTTCTCTGTTCCTTTGCTTGAAAATTTTATAGCATTGATACTACATCTAGTCTCTTTATCTCAAATTTTTATTTCTCTGACACTTCACTTCGCTGAACTTGTAAAATTGATTGGTTGTAGAGTACTTTGCAGAAAAAAAAAAAGACTGCATTTAAGCATCTGAAATAAGTTTCTTTATTAAAGGCATATGTTCTGAAATGTTTGGATGGCTTGATTTTATGTTGGTCTTTCTCTCTAGCCCCTTCTCTCTCATGACAGAGCTCCCAAATAGTTTGGCAAAAAAAATTATTGGATACGGTCCTCCTTTATTAGGGGTATTGTCTAGGAATCCTCTGTATTTTATTAAATGTATGAATTGATGTCTGATAACTTAATAGAACCAAATGGAAGTTTGTTTTTTTTAACATGCACCAATTTGGTGCTTCAAACCAAAAAGTTAACATATTTTCTTTTTGTTCTAAGGCATGATAGTATTTCTAACATTTTTAACAGATTTTTCCATTGCACACAAAAAGAATCGCTAAAGCCAACAGATTTTTTGGTGTGAAACGCCAATTTCTTACATATTAAAACTACAAATTTCTGTTTTGATTCATTTGGTATAGTACCCCTTAGCTTTAATATATTGTTCTCTTGTTATCTTTTGTCCCTACTAATTTCTCAACTATAGCTTTATATAAGTCATTATAGTAGTTTTCTTTAACCAGTATTCATGAGTCTAGCTTGGTAGTTTTAATAATTTTGGATGACTATGATTGGATATGGTTTACAAAGGAGTATTGGATTTAAAGCTCTGCTGAACTTTTTTAATCTTTTTAGAGCAGCAAAATCCTCTCTTTATTTCAAAAAGAAAAAAAAAAGATTAGCAAAATCCTAATATAAATAACAGATTCTCAAACCCTATAATTTTTCATCCTTGTCCCAGTTTTGACATTAGCTTATTAGCTTTTATGTTTCATAACTGCTATTTCTATGATAAACTCTGTGGGGGGGGGGGGGGAGGAGGAAGGGTTCCTTTTTCTCATCTTTCTGAATGAGTGAGATTGGATTTTGCCCAATTCACACAAAAAAAATGCTTTTACGTTCGGAGTGCTTATGACAGCACTGCATGCACTGAACCTTTAATTACCAATAAGACAAATCCTTCTGCTTTAATCTTCTTGTTTCAAGATAAAGATTGTCCTTCCTTTTGACCTAAGGGACTTGGACTTCAAATCATGAATTTGAACTACACCACCTCTTAAGGTTCTCAGAATGAGTCGAGTCATCGTCTGAACGGACAATGACAAGCGTGGTGTCTGATCTGCCAAATAATCTGTTGGGAAATAAAGACCCGCTGTTTCTTTTGCCACGCGTCCGTAATCTCAATTGTTTGACATCCGTCTCTGTGCATCTATTTTGCAGGGTTGCTGGGCAGAACTTCAGCAGATTATATTTGATGAAAGCTTTGAATGAAAACTGAGGAAAAGCCTGGTGGATAGATGATGCATTCTTTGAAATGCTTCTGCTTATTTTTAGTCAGGAGGAAATATATTTCTCCTGGGTAGATGTTTTGGTTTTCTTCTGAGATGAAAATTTTGGAATGTCAAAAGAGTTAAAAGAGAAAAAAAAAAAAAAAAAAAAATTTATGTTGTAATTACATTATTAAGATTAGAGAAATTAGAGATTAATTTGGTTTTTCATTTTCGAAAACGTTGTATGAATTAAACCCTAGAACATGTATTAACATAAAACGAAGTGTTTGGTTCAGCTTTTATTTATTTTATTTTCTTCTCAAAGTTATCTGATAAATTTATTTTAAATCCAAAGGTGCCAAAATAATATGATTATAGTTGGATTTTTAGGTAACCCATTAAATTAAATTGTAGGATTATAGTAAGCCCATTATTATTTTTTTTTCTCAGCTTAGTTTCCAGATTGTATTTATTTTTATATGTGTTTGTATATAGATTTTTACTTTATATCTTTATATTCATCTAATTTTCCAAATATATAAAGGAAAAAATTTATTGTTAAAAGTTATAATATAAAGTTATAAATTAAGAATTTAAAATTTGATAATTTTATTTAAAAAATAATAAATAATTATATCTGAATTTAAATTTTTAATTAAAAATAATAATAAAATTTAAATTTAAATAAGTAAATCAGAAGGGACTGTCAATAGTAACGGTAAAAAAAAAAAAAAACTGGCGTACCCGAGTCCAGGCCCGAAAAGGGCTTTATGCCTTCTAACTCTCGAAAGGGGCCTAAAATTAGGGTCCGAAATCAGATTTCAGGAACTATAAATAGGTAAAGTGAAAACCCTCGCCTAAACCAGATCCTCAGTTCTTCAAAGACGCAGCAGAGAACGGCCGTATCTGTATTCGTGTCTGAAGAGCAAATGAAAAATGAGGATTTCACACCAACGCGGCATCTCAGAAAGCCATTGCTCCTTGTATTAATCGGCTCTTGGCTCGCTATGATGCCTACACTCTTCCTCTTATCTCTGTTTTTCCAGTGATTTCGTTTTGGAAGAAATTATTCTTAATCGGCAGCATCTCAATTTTGTTGTTTAGTTTTGCTTTTGGATTTCTTACTTTGTTGTGCAGATCTCACTCTGTTTTGCATTGCGATTGTTGTCTATCTCTTTCAAGATCATTTAAAAACGATTTTAAACAAAATCCAGTTCTGCATACGATTGTTGTTTCTTCATTCCTGCATATAACTCATTTTGAACAAGAATCGGTCGGACTGGATTAACCTTTCTTTTTCGGTTTGTAAACATGTGCGCATTAAACACATCTTGTGAGGGATTTACGTTTGAATTCAAATTGAAAGTTCTAATAATGCTCGTGTATAATTTTGACAATTTATAAATATTCGCAATAAAGTTTTAACCGTTAGGGTTTTTTTATATATCGAAATAATTTTAGAAAATTGTAAAAATTCTATAGCTATAATTTTAATTAAAAGATGCATGCAAATTTTTATTATCATCGAGAATCTAATATAGAGATTTTTTTTGTTATTTTTATAATAAAAATAGTAATTATTTTAACATTAGGTAATTTTTTATAATCTATTACAAGACCTTTTAAAGCTATCTTAGCCTCCTCTAATTTCCAGATCGATCAACAGTGTAAATCCAACATAATTCAATACATACATACATATATTTACAAAATTAAATAAAGTAAAAAAATTATATTATAATATATAAAAAGTGGGTTTGTATTATTAACAAAAAAAAAAAAGTATATGACTGCAAAAATAAATTATTATTTTTTTTATAAAGCTAAGAATTCAAAGATCAGCCTGAATCGATATTCTTATAGTCGTGATTCTTACCCACTACTTAAATCTGAATATGACTACTTAAATCTGAATATGATAGCTTATATCCTAATCAAATCTAGGTTATAATTAACAAAATTTAATTATTATAAAATATTATTTTTATATAAAAATATAATAAATTTATTAAAATTTATCATGATAATAATATCACAAATACATTAATAATTTAAGGCGTTAATTTTATTAAATTAAATATTATAAATTAATAATAATTAATTTATTTTATATTAATAAAATAATAAATTTTATGTTTTTGGTAAATTTTAAATTCATAATTTTTAAATATAATACTATAATTTTAACAATAATTTTTTGACAGAAATTTGGTGTTTTTTTTTTTAAAAAATCATTTCCTAACATGTATATAAATATAAAAATTCAAAATCCACAGTTTGGAATAATAAAAAAAAAAAAAAATCCGAGTCCGGGTCATGATGGGCCGGGAAGCAGTCGGCCCATGGGCTTGAGAATTCAAATTTCTGGCCCATAATTACTAATTATTATTATTTTTCAAAAAAATAAAATACAAAGAGGCGGTTTTCACGGCTAAACAAAACCAACAAACCCAGAAAATATTATGGATAGATAGCGAGGCAGGCGAAGACCAAAAAAACCCAACTCCTCCAGCTCACACCTTCATCAACAAAGAAGCCAACTCTCCCGAGCGATCAGTCCTCGTCCTCCTCATCCTCCTCCTCATTTCTCTCTATTTTCTCAGATAACAAACAGAGTACTGCGGCTACTAATTTTCTTTATTTCTAATTCCTTTTTACATTCAGCTTAGGGAGTTCAATTTCTGTTTCTTTCTTATTTTGGCAATGGCGATTCTCTAATTCTTTTTTATCTTTATCTAATTTGTGTATGTTTGCGTACCTGTGGATTGGTGGTTTCGCTTTGTACCTCAAGGAAAATGGAGTCCACTGAGTCGTCTTATGTGTCGTCGCCGGAGGCGCCGAAGAAGGGATCTCTTCAGCCGCCGAAATCGCCGGCGTCAGGTTCGTTGATCTGATCTACTTTCTCTCCCTTGTGATTGTGCTTTTTTAATTGTTTGTTTGGTCTTCTGCTATCTGGATGTTATCTCCGTTGAGTGATGGCAGTTCCGTTTGGTCGATTTGTTTTGGTTGCTATTTTTGAGTGAAATTTCTTTGAAGAATTTTGTGGCTGTGTGATGATCAATGACGATTGTTGGTCTGATGTTTCGTTCCTCTTTTTTTTTTTTTAATTTTTTTTTCCTGTTGTTTGTTTTTAATGGTTTTGCTTTGAATTGGAACCCTAACTTCAATCTTTTGCTTTGTTGTTGGTAAACTGCGGGGAAAAAGTGGGATAAGTGATTCACATTGATTATTTATGCCTTAAAATGGGAAAGGAAACAGGAAAGGTTGCATATAATTTTGTACTATTTTCCATTTACGAGATCTCAACAGGGAGTTACTGTGGTAGACAATGATTTGAGCATCGTCACATGTTGCTCTGCACATCTAGGGCCCCTTCTCGTTATAAAGTAGAATCACATTTTTGCCTTCTTGGACATTCAAACAAGGGCAAATTTTTGTGAAACGGTTATTTTATGCTTTGATATTAGTAAGGAAGAATGAAACAAAATTGGAAATGAGACTGTACTTAATTCTGGATTATCACTTGGGAGCTTAGGTGTGATGGAGTATTTTGTAATAAGTTTTCTGTACTGGTTTCTGGGCTATGAAGGTTGTTTCTTCCTTATGCGAAAGAAAATTTAACATAAATACACATTATAGTTAGATACAAAAATGCAACTGAGGACTTTGGCATTTGCAAGGCCCAAGATAGTTAGAGTGAGATATTTTTCTTTTCTTTTCTGAAAATGGTCTTTTTCTTTTCACATTATGCTGTCATATTTTGCTTTTCGCATCATATCGAATCATCATAATTTTTCAAGTGGATATTTAATGGAATGATTCTCCCAACCTAGCAAGCAATTTGGGTACCTGTCCGTGCTGAGATCCATGGCTCACTTCTATTTGAAATTGAAGCAACAGAGTAACAGTCTGACAGAATTATTTTTAATTAACAATGGATACTGAATATTATTAATGCAAAAGGTCAGTAACTACTGGTCTATATCTTGGATATTTGAGAGATTTTGATTTTTAAGTTGTTGATAGAAATATCATAGCTTTCATCATAACCAAGAGGGGCTGGAGTCACTGGTGTGGCCACAAATTGAGCCAAACTGACTACCTTAGTATTTAAATTTGATTGAAGCTCGAAGTCTAATCGAACTCCGATTCTAATATTCTTTTAGGCTCAAGTTTAGCTATTTTAGAGAGAGTTCGAGCTCATACTCAAACCAGCTGGAACTCCAGAATCAAACATTAATGAGTGTGTTTGTGAACTTTCAAACTGAATTCCTTTAGGCTTTAACTGAGCTCATTTAGCTAATCGATTTATTTTTTTGAATTTTGTACAAAGCTCAATGCGAGGTATTCGTGAAAATGTTTTGTCATTACCAGCTTTACGGGTTTGTGATTTCTTAGGACTATGTAGAAAGGCTCAGTGTTGAATATTTTATAGAGTAAAAATCTTATGAATTTTTGTGTTGAAAATCATACACAGGAAGCACCTTCTCAGTGCTTTTATTTGATGTGCATGTATATTTTCAAATTGTTGTTTGTGGAAATAGTTTGAGGGATCCTTTATGTGCGAACATGAAATGAATGACTTCTTTTTATTTTGGATTGGAAAGTTAAATGAATTACCCGAACAGAAAAAAGTTGATATAGATTTACTGAAGAAGTTCGGATGAAGTTAATTTGATGGCTAACATCAATGAAATATGGGTCAAATGGAATTAGCAAGGGCTTTGGCAACAAAAATTCACATTTACCTTCTTTTGCACATTGTCAACGGATCTTGCTAAGTTCTTCATTTTGTTGTTTCCTTTACCTTGAGCAAGTTTTTTGTGCTACTTGTAAAGTTCAAGCGACAGGTTATAAGGTGCTAGGATGATGATAATATGCAGTTGATACTGTAAACTGCATGACATCGACATGGTTGTTGGTTTCTAAAAACTACAACTCAAGAATAATATGCCAAACCATATCTATGAAATCAGTCTTTTATTATTTTGTTTTCCTCTTCTCCAAATCTAAGGTGTTTTTGTGAAAGAAAAAGTTTATGTATGTTATTAAGCTAACATTACTTCTCCCAAAGATGAAAAATGAAACCAAAGATAAGAATGAGAATATAATGTTGAGGCCAGATGATTGTATAGAAAATAAGATTTAAACTGCCCCTTACAAGTTGCTGGCCAAGTCAACCTTGAAGCTGTGTATAACTTGAGGACAAGTTTTCTTTTGACTTCTGCTGGGTTACTCTAGTGGCCTTCTTCCTACAACATATACATTTTATTTGGATCAAGAGAAGATTACCCTAATTAGATATGTGCCTTATGGTTGCTTTTTTGTTTCTTCTAATTGATCTTCTCATGGCTTTCAGATTCTGCAGAGAAGCCTACATATATTAGGTTCCTTGTATCGAATGCTGCAGCTGGTTCTGTCATTGGAAAAGGTGGTTCCACAATTACTGATTTCCAGTCACAGTCTGGCGCACGTATTCAGTTGTCACGTAATCATGAATTTTTTCCTGGGACGACTGATAGGATTATCATGGTATCTGGATCAATTGATGAAGTAATCAAAGCAATGGAACTTGTTCTTGCTAAACTGTTGAGTGAGGTAATCTTTATGATGTAGGTTTAGCCCCACGGATTCTTTTTATTTTTATTATTAATTTAATTTTTTATTATTATCAGCTCCACAGTGAAGATGGTAATGATATTGAACCAAGAACGAAAGTGAGGCTCATTGTTCCAAATAGCTCTTGTGGTGGCATAATTGGAAAAGGAGGGGCTACCATAAAGTAAGAACTGCTCCCTTGTTATTCCACCTATAGAATGTTGTTTAGTTTCTATTATTACCGAATAATTCATCAGTCTTAAAATTTCAAGGCAAAGTTCAAGCATGGATTATTTACAAATTTATTAATTATTTTTTAAAATAATTACTTATGAGTTTAATTGGTTCAGTCTTAATATTTATATAATAATTTATATTAATTAGGTATCCTTTTTTTAACTTCGCAAAAAATGTTTATTTTATACAAATAAAAATTTATATGGTATTTTTATTTTTATACTTCAATAAAAAATGAGTTACTGCTAGAATAAAATATTTTATAGTAGTAAAATTTGTATCTAAAATGAGTACATAGATATATTAAAGTTATAAATATTATTATTAACTAATTAAATTCCATTGGCTGTTTGGGCGCGGGATGGCTTGAGCTATAAAAGATGTATTGCTAATCAAATTCCATTAATTGTTTTTTGGGTCATTTGGAAAGAGAGAAATGTTAGAGTTTTTGTTGGAAAAGAATGTAATTTAAAAAGGTTAAAGGATAGATGAATTTACTATTTTGTTTCTATTTTATTAGGTCATGATATTAGTAGTGATGATGATTTTGTAAATGTCATTGACACTTTAACTCATTTGTAAATCTTTTGTACATGTGCGATACTTCTGTTTTGATACCTTGTTAATATACACATTATACTTTTTATTTAAAAATAAATAAATATTATTATGAACACATATATTGCACATTTTATACTGAAATATATGATACTAAAAGTTTTCCACCTATGTAATTTTTACAAATATCTTCTTCTTTCTTTCATTGTTAAAGAAAAACTGTTATGTACAATAATATAGTATAATTTTATAAAAATAAATATGAGTACAAGAAAACATATACCAACTTAAAATTTTGTAATAAATTCATTCATGAAAGCAATACTTAGAAGGCATATATAACACGATTTGTTGCCTGCATAGAAAGGCTAGTAATTACTTATATACATAGTTTGTTTATAAGGTACAATCAAACTGCTCTTATTAGATGATTTCGAGAGTATCCACAAGTGCACTTCAATAGACGGACTCTCTTTGTCCCCTGCTTTCTTTTGGTATCAGTCAAATGTTTGGATAGTGACTTCTTTTTGAGAAAAAAAGATATCTGATGCATACAAAAGGCACCACGAGGTTGCCGGCAATTCAATCAAATCTTTTGTTATCAATCAAATCGTTTGTTATCAATCAAATCTTACAAGTTAAGTAAAATGCTGACCCCCTAAATCTCCCTTAGAGCGAAGATGATAACTCTTGATAAAAAAAAAGTAGAAGCAAATATCTCTAATCCTTGCAAAAGAAAAGCAGCCTGTGGAGCCAAAAATCATTGCCTCTTTGCCAAACAGTTGAGCAAAAGATGCATGATTGTTCAAATATATTTCATCGCCTGAATTTCTTGCTTCTTATTTTGGTGAAAGGTGATGGGCAGAGGTGGGGAGAGGGATTGGTTTGGGACTCTTAAGACATGGGCCTGTAGGAGAACCAGTTAGTTGATCATCTGAAAAAGAAAACAGTCTCTCCGTCAAGCCCACTATGGGTTGCTTTTAATAACCTGAGAATATGCACAAGCATATTTGTTAAATGATTCTGTTAACTGTGGCTTTCCCAAAAATGATTCCCAGAAGTCGGAACATTTTACTTTTGTAATCTCAAGGCATCTTTCATATATTTGCTCTTATGCAGGTCCTTTATTGAAGATTCACAAGCTGGCATTAAGATATCTCCACTGGATAATAATTATTACGGGCTGAGTGATAGGCTAGTGACATTGGCAGGCACTCTAGATGAACAGATGCGAGCAATATATTTGATTTTGTCTAAGCTTACAGAAGATGCTCATTACTCACAGGCTATGCATGCCCCATATTCATATGCAGGTATGTTGTTTATAAAACACTCTAACTTTGTCATCTTGTAAGTTTTTTCTGCTATTTGTATGTTCTTTAAGGAGTAAATTATGATCATAATTTATGAATGGCTGGCTCTACAATGAAGTGGGAAAAGCTAACTTTCTAGCATATTATGTTCATTATCATGTTTTGCTGCATTTAATTGGTTTAAACATAAAGTGATGTGACTAGTGGATTTTCTGCCTATTTTAAAGTAACTGTTGGTTGGAGCTGGAAGTGCTGACATATTTCCTTTTGGTTTCATTTTCAGGAATGTTTTTAAGTATCCAAAGCACTAAATTATAATTTACTGCAAATTGGCATTAAAGAAAAAGAAAAAGATCGTAACTTCTTGTATATTACGTAGTTCATAAGCATACATGTAAAAAAAAAAAAGGATGGTTTTTATCTTTTAGAGAGAATGCAGGTAAAAAGTGGAAACAAAAATTATAGGATCCTAATCCCAAAAAAAAATGTACTTTTTGAATGTGAAACTCCAACTTTTTCTATAAAGAAGTTAAGGTTATTTATTACATGATTAAACTTTAAAAATGAACCTACCAAAAGACATAGATTCGACCTCTCCTAGGCCAAAGCTAATTGAACTCATTTTTTTCTTCAAAAAAAGTAATTGAACTTTTAAATTGAAGTTAAACTTTAACGCAAAGAAGGGAAGATAGGATAATCTTATGACTGATAATTTTTTAAACTGTGTATTCTAATTTGGTTATATCTATGGAAATTCAGGACAAGTGATTGCATGTTCTAATGTTGCAGGAATCATTATTCAGTTTCTTAGCTTTTTTTTTTAATAAAAAAACGAAAAAGATTCAGATTTTTTTGAAGTATCATAGTAGTTAATTTTTCTGATGTTATGGCAAAAGTTATTATCTAGTAAGATCTCATTAACTCAAACTTTTAGGTGTTTTCTTCTCTGGTTTTCATGGTGTTCCGTATGCGTATGTACTTCCTTCTGCTGCAACAGCACCATATAACAGTGTGAACTATGCACCAAATGGAGCTGGAGGAAAATTTCAGAATCCCAAGGTTCATACACTTCTACAACACTTGAATCTTAATGGTGTTCCTGATGTAATTTATTTATCAGCTGATTTGCAAGCATAGATCATTTGCTATTTTGGGTAATATGAAGATACATGTTATGCATATTCTAATTTGTAAGTCATATTTTTTGCCTACTGATTCTGTTTTGAAGGTCTAGGATTACCTGGTGGGATCTAGAGCAAGCAGATATAGATGAGATCGTAATATTTGTTCTTGGTTTTTGTATAGATTTACTAATTCTCTTGGTTGAATTGAAATTCCCAGAGGCCCTTTGAGATTTGAATCCAAACTCTTATAGACAAGTGCTGAGAAGCTAACCATATGGCTAACCATATTGATAAATAGGCCCTTCCATTCAAGTGTTGAAAGTAAAACAGAATGGGAGTACTTGTGTTCTGCAGCACTTAAAACATAAGCGAAGTAGATGAGCACTGGGCTTTGATTTTCTTTCCAGTTGAAAACTTTGAAGTTCTTGCAATCCAAGGACCTCGTTATGCCATCTGTTATAAACTATATTCAGTTCCAGTCCAAAGTTCTTGGTATCTGAGGCAAAATAGGCAAGGCTTTATACCTTGGTAGCTCCATCATTATCAAATTCTTCTCCGAGGGAAACCTTTTAAGAAGAGAACCAAATTAGGGGATATCAGTGCTAACATATGTGGCATATAAAATTGGGAACAAGGATGCAACCTTTATTGCCAAAAAGCTGGAGAATAACTTATGGAGTGGTTAGTTAGTCTCAGAAGAATGATTTCAGTAGCTTTATCCGCCTTGGAAAGTACATTTAGATGAAATTTCTATACAAATTTGTGATTGTTCTTTTTGCTAAGCTTCTAACAGAATATGAGATCCAGTGCCGTTATTGTTGATGACATCATGCAGAATAGTTAACGATGTTGATGCAGAGCATGTATGGGCTAGTTAGACACCACTTGTTACTTAGTTGATGCATCTTGTTGATTATTTTTCTTACAGCTGACTTGTTTGAGTCGAAGACCTGTTTCTTTCTTTTTCTGGATTGGATCTACCTCGAATTAAAGAGAATTAGATTTGCTATGATTAATGAAGAATATATCTGATACTTGTCAAGTAAAGCCAAGTACTTCATATTTATGTCTTTATGATGCTTTCACTTGATAACAATCTGATTGTGTCTGATGTCAGTGGATACTGACAGTATTTTGTTTCCCGTTCAACAATTTGTTGCTTTTTTTGACTGATCAACCGAAAAAGATAAGATCAATGAAGGTTCTGTATTGATAGCTTGTTGATTTGTCTGATAGAAGGCTTCTGATGATCATCAGGAGGATCGTAGCAACTCGGTGACAATTGGTGTTGCTGATGGGCATATTGGTCTGGTTGTTGGTCGTGGTGGAAGAAACATTATGGAAATTAGTCAGGTTTATGAAGAGTTCTTTTTTTTTTTTTTTACTTTATATATTCATTTTTTTTTTTTAATTTATTAAATAATTTTTGCCACTTGCACACTAAGGTAGAACATCATTTGATGCAGGTCAGCGGGGCCAGAATAAAAATCTCAGATAGGGGCGATTTCATGTCTGGAACGAATGACAGGTAGAGAGCGAGATGATACTCTTGGTCGGTGGTATGGTTTACCCAGAGATAGTTGTGGGAAAAATGTTGTTTTTGACTCGTTGCTTTGATTTGCCAGGAAAGTGACAATCACGGGTTCACAGAGAGCAATCCGTCAAGCTGAGTCAATGATAATGCAGAAGGTGGCATACGCCTCTGAGAGAGCCATGGATTAGTTTTTTTCAGAGTACCGTTGTCTTGTGTAGTTCAGAATCTTTGGAACTCACCTGGCTTTTGATTGAGCAACATTTCTGTGTCTCCTCACTCTATAAAATTTTCGGTGAGAAGTTTAAATTGTGTAGCGAGGCTCGCAAGAAGCTGGGAATTTTTATGAGGCAGAGCTTTTCATAGGAATTCTTCTGAAAGCAGAAACCCTAAAAACTTGTTTGAGAAAGAGAGAGAGAGAGAGATAGAGAGAGAGAAAGAGAAAAGGAAAAAAAGATGTTGGGGTAGTTGGCCATTTGTTAAAACTGTATTAGAATTAGCTTCCTATTATTTTTATTTATAGGGTTGTAACATGAAGAGAGTAACTGTTGATTACTAAGTCTGATTTATATTTTTGTAGAAAGGCTTTGGTTGAGATTAAATATTTTTGAGGATTTCATTTTAAGACCCATACATACATACATACATACATACATACATGTTTCTCTTCTCTTGCTTTCAGTCGTGCTCGGTGCCAGTAGGGTCCACCCTTCCAGCGCCTACGGGATTG